AAGCAGAAGCAGGAGAAGCAGCTCCCTGGTATAGAGTCCTGAGCAGAGGCAGGAGCAGCAGCTGCTTGATACAGAGTCTCAGACAGAGGGAGCAGCTCCCTGGTGTTTCTTCTTCTGTTCTCTTCTTGTTCTTCTGCTTCTTTTTCAATGTGTGGTGGTAGTGATGATGATGATGGAGGATGCCTTTTCCACCCCAAAACAGGAGATTTTTATTCATAAATCATCCAATGATCTAAAACCACGAACCTAAAACGTTTCCTCTAAACCTATTAGAATCCTAATTCTATAATACAAAAGTGATGTTAATTCTTGCACATAACTTACACATATAGCTTTATCCATGCAAATGGTTCTATCTGTTCTATCTAAAAATGTAAGCAATATTCTTACTATGTTTTCATTATGTCTGGACTTTTACTGAAGCTTAAACTTTACACTACTTTCTAGGGCTTTTTACTCTCTTAAGGCAATTAAAGCATATTATTATTTACTTAAAACTTAGGCTTCTACTTCATGTCTATGTAACTTAATAATATTTCTACTCACTTAAAATGAAAGCCTACACTTCCGTTTCATGTCTGTGTGGCTTAATATATCTTAATTTCTCTAAAAGCTTTAATTCAATCCCTGCATTCTGTTCTCTCTCTGAGGGACTCAGAGAGGCTTCTGTTTTACACACTCCAACACAGCAGCATTCAGGAACCCCAACACTGCACTCCACAAGGCAGCAGTCCCTGGTCTGATAAGGTTTCTGTAAGATCTGTTTATAACAGCGAGGCCAGCAGTGCAGACAGGATTACAGCAGAGTACAGCTGCTTCCAGACATGGCTTGTTAGAAAATCAGTACACGCAGGGTCAGAGGACTATTTCATGTATGCAAAATAAGCAAGAACAAGGAGTGAACCAGCAAATTTCAGAGAAGCCAGCTTCCAAAACCAGCAAATGTGAAGTTTTTGAGAAGGGTCCAAAGAAAAAACATGCCCACGTGATTCGGCAGATTTACAGGGCGAAAAACAAAGCTTCAACATAGCTGAAGAAAACGGCTCCCAGAGATCTGCAGAACACCAACAGATAGGCTTTGCAGGCACCACAATTCCTGCCAATGCAGGAAGCCTGCTTTCTATTCCAGCTGTGCCCCTCCAAGGCTTCTCAACTCAAATAAATGCTTCTTATCTTCAGGTCTGTCTGTTTACTGAAGACTGCCGAGAGTGGTGTAACCCAGATTGTGCTTAAACACAGCCAAGCTCAGTACAGTAGCAATCAGTCACCCTCTCTGGACACGGTGCTTGGCATCGCAAAGAGCCTGTTGTCAAAGTTCAGCTGTATGAAACGCTCATATGGACAGGTAATATCTGGCCTAGACTGCCTAAATCTACTAGTAAAATGTCACTTCTCTCTTTGTTTTAGTCCTCTGTCATCTTTTCCCTATATGCATGAATGGAAATGAATCACAAACATCGGAGTGTTTCCAAGTGAGCAAAGAAGGGCACATGGAGCCTCACAGCTGGCTGCTACACCTGCCTCTAAATTACATATAAAGTGCTTTCATGCTGCACAGAGCATAAGTATGCAACTACTTATCAATTCAAGCTAGGAATTAATATGAAATAAATTTTGCTCAGCATGGGACTCTCTGGGAAGGTGTGTCATGCTTCACAGCCCAGGTCCTGCATGCCACTCCAAACCTGAACACAACCACAATGAAGCAATTCCTGCTTATTGGGAGACCTCTGACTCATAGAGATCCATTTAGCTACATGTGCTCTTTAAAAATTAACATCACTGAAACAGGACACATGAACAAAGGAGGCCAGAATCACCTGCAAGTACTTTACCAATGCAAGACCACTACTACCATTCACTTCAAACAGCAAAACCTCACAATTACCACTAATTTAGCCAGGAAAGTAGGCAAAAACCCTGCCATGATATATCTGCAGCCAACATCACAAGATTTAAAATTAAGATGTGCAGTCATTCCCACATCAAACTAAGATCACAGGAACAGGACATGGTGCCACCCATGGGCACTCCTGAACTGAGTGGCCACAGAGAAGACACATGCCTGAGCCATAGAATCACATCTCTAATCAGAACACACCCAGAGGTCAGCTGTGCCATAAAGAGTCTTGACATTCACTTGAAAAATACTTTCTTCCATATGGGGCTGCTTTAGTGCAAAGCAGGCATACTCCTTTAGTTTAAAGAGCACTGCCCTTAAGGTGTTTCAGGTTTTCCTCCCACAACACCAAGTTCTCCAGTTTAAAAAGGGCAAAAGCCAGTCAGCATTGGAGGCAGTGAATGTGAAAGGACTGAACTAGAAAGAACCCAAGAGGGAAGCAACTGCTCAACCTCTAAACCCTTGTCAGCATCCATACTTGCAGATCAGAACCCCATTTTCTGTTAGATGAAGGTGTTCTAGAACGAAGTATTAGCCTGCTCCCAACCATGGCTTTTCAGCTGAGGCCACAGCTCAGTACAATGCAGAGGAGAAGCATGTACTGACCACACCTGGCTACCTCATGTATCTCCACCTGGGGAATCTTCCTGGTGAGCTGTCACTACCACCCCATGGGGCTGCCAAACCTGAAGTCCTTGAAAGGAGGCTGGAATGATCTTGGTTGCAGCAGAATGATGTTCTATACATTTAGCCCATTTCAAAAGCCTGCTGTTAGTAACTGGGTCTCCTCTACCCTCCACATGTAAGACTTCCAATTTCTTTATAAAGGCCCTGTTGGTTGTTATTAGAAAGAACATACACAGATCTTATCTGGCATAAACTTCCCTCCAGAAGAGACAGCTTTCAATAGTGGAAGAAAAAGGGAAAAGGAGGAATTAAAAACAGCCATGGAAGTGTAGGGTAAGAGAAATGAGTGAAAAAACACTGCTTACTCAAGCTGACCAAAGAGCAGTCAGGGCCTGCAGGTAAATGCCGAGAACTCTCCAAGGGCATGAGAATGTAAGGTGAACTGAGGTTTTTACTTATTTCCACTGCTAAGAGCAGCCCCCTCCTCATTGCAGTGTTAATTTCCAACAAAATATGGAAACAACTAACAACTTGTTAGACCAAATTATTAAATTACCTTACTATCAGACAAGCCTAGGCAAAAGCAGTTTCTGTGGACAGCTGACCTGCTGTGAGTGGCCCCTGTAGCCACACCTCACAAGGAGTTAATAGGAGGCTATGAACTGTTGTGACCTCTCTTTCCCATTTGCTCACTGAGACAGCCAGGCTATTGCTATTTAACCTGTCTGAGAAACGTTTTTCCCTAACATGACCCCAAGATTCTGTGAATCCCTCTCATGTTTATATAAATATATATTAAGAAATTTACTTGAAAGTACTCATGTTGAAATTAGTCTGCAATCCCTTTGGTTAAAGTTGCTACTGTTCCACAAATGCTGCCTGCAGTAGTAGAATTGCTCAAGTACAGCTCCTGAAATGTGAAATAAAAAGCAACAACAGAACAAAGCCTCTTACTCGATCATCAAGGCAATCAATGTCTGCATGCTTTTTTCTGCATAAAAAAGAGAATGGACTGTTCTTTGCATAGTTGTCAATTTTTCCAGCATGGGAAGACTCCTCTAATAGTTTAAAATATTCATTACAGCAGATGCTCTCAGCAAGTTTCTTTGGATGAACAAATGAAATCAACCTGAAAAAACACTGTTTGGCTGAATATGAGAATCACTAGTAAAATCAACAAACTATTTTTTTTCTCAAGTGTATCCTTCCCCTGTGGTATGAAGTATCGAGGAAAATTTATTTCATCAAATGTTGTGAACTAGTCACATGCATGGGATTTAAGCCACCCAGCCATGTTGCTGGTCCACTAGAGAAGACAAATCATGAGCTGAGTTAATGCCAAGACCCCCAAGACTGCTGAAATCATCTCATGCTTTACAGACCAAATTCAGTACCTGACATGTTTAAAAATATGAAATTATTTTAATAAGTTTGTTTACATTTCAAACAAATCAGCAAACACTGTTAAAATTCACTTAATCTCAAAATCACAGAATCAAATATTCTGTGAAAATACACCTTACAATTTGACAGTAATCCAACAGATAAAATAGTATCTGGAAAGATTCTACTGATTTCTGCATCTCACTGATAAAAAACATCCCAAGCTACTCAAGAAGTATACAGAAAACAGTTATGATTTAATCCTTTTCTCAAAACATCTTTTTGAAGTTACTTAGCAAAAATAAACAACTCTCAAAATAAATGATGCACAATTACAACAGGTCTTATAACCTGTAGTATAATCTGTAACAAATAAAAGTTGCTTATTTGACTGTGAACCTGGTTCCAGACCTGTAAATAAAGACTAGTGATAAAGTCTCTAGCTGCCACCATGCCCAGGGGAGATCTGCTGAACTAGACTTAATTTCGTCACGAAAACTTGCACAACAGTAACTCAGACACAAAAAAAGTAAATTACCATGACACTTCAGAAAAAAAGGATACTACAGTCGCTATAGCGAAAAGCATGTCAATAAGAATTTGTACAAAATATGGGTTGACAGATAAATGGTATTTTAGGAGAAAGCACATCAGAGATTTGTATTTTACCTTGTGAAAATCCATCATGTATGGCTACAAAAGGAAAAACAACTGTAAAGTTCAACAAAACTCTACAAGAGAACAACTATCTGCTTTCAGGGGAAAACAAACAAACAAAAAACCCCCAAAAGATATAATTCTGAAGCTGTTACGACTGTCCAAATCTGTGACTCAAGAAAGAAATCAAATGAAGCAACTGAGAACTGACTAACACTTCTCCCTCCTGCATGAATTTAAAGTGGAAGTTTTCACAGTTCCATTGAGGAGGTTTAACAGTCAGAAGAGTAAAGTGGGGCTGGGAAGAGTTTGATTAGTCAAACAGTCAGTGTTCTTAACAAAGTTTATTAATTGGTTATTTTGTGTCCTGAATGTAGGTGGTAAAAAGGGTAAACTGTAATACAGGGATAGCAAATGTCTTTTTTTTTTTTTCTTTTAATTAAGAGCAACTAAAATGTATTATTCCACTTTTCAGAATAAGCCCTTCTAACGCAAAGTTGATCACATTAATGATGCACTTTACAATAGCCCATGGAGACAAAGCAAATTAATACTTTGGCCTCTTTTGAATATCATCTTATCTGAGGCCTGGGGAGAAAGCAGAAGCTGCTAGTAATTAGCTGTGGCCTTTAATAATAAAATTACATTGATATTCCAATGTTAGATTTTCTAATAAAGGCATAGCTTCATGGTGTCAGAGGCACAAGAAGATACCAAAAATAGCTGAGTATGTCTTTAGCCATGACTGAGAAGCTTCCTGTTTTGTTTTATATAATAATCACAGCGCATGAAATTTTGACAACCTGGCATGTTTTGAACTTACTTTTATTTCACTCATTTTAAAGACCAAATGGCTGATAGTGTATAAAAACATTAAATGAAGGGCAGGTATGCAGGAATAGGAGATGAGATCCTTAAAGTGAAAATCTGAAGAACCTTCTCTTTTGAAACACAGGTTAGAAAAATACCATCATACTACATTAATGAAATTTTTATTCAACATCCAGCTCTTACATTTGATGGGGAAGGAGACAAACATATTTATTAAAGAAGCCAAAATAACAGAGTACTCCTCTACTGCTTTAGAACTGATGAATGCACACCCATTTCTCCTAGACTTTGTAAAAAATCAAAAAATTGGAAGGAACCCTTAGCAGAGCTCCTTATCAGGAAGGGCCAGCACAACCACTGCTCTTTCAGTTCTTCCAGGAATGGCTTATTTGTGTGCATTGAATAAGCAGATGCTAGATATCATTGGAGTACATCACAATGAACAAATATTGCCCACAGGCTGGGGCAGAACAGCAGCACACAGGCCCAATCTCTCTTAGCAGGTGTTCAAATTACACATTCTTAAAAGCTTAACACTTTGTCTGGATTCGATGTCATCCTCACTGCTAGCAAAGTTGGAAACAAAAACAGAAGTCATCAGTACAAAAAGAAATTGCTGTACGATGCTTCAAAGAACAAACAGCTTCCATGCTCCTCTTTATTTCAACAGAGATGATTAGTTAAGGTGCTTTAGGATTCTGCATGGCAGACATGCTGGCAGAAGTGGCCATTTAATAAGATCTGGAGTCTTTAACGGGTATATGACGGCAGCTCCCGAGACAGAACCCTGAACTGCTAGTTTCTGTAGCGGGGCATCTGTGGAGCAGGAGCTCCCTCTAAGGGGACTGAGGAGGAGACTGTCATCAGCTGTCCACCGTGAATTCTCTCATTCACCCTCAGTTCACAGCCATCCTGCAGCATCCTTATAGCTATCCTTGCTATGTTTTTAGAGTCATCAAGTCCACTGTGAGGTCTCCCATCATAATTCATGCCCAGATTTTCAAGCATGATTGTCAGCTTGGTCTGGTTCCTAGGAACCTGATGGAGAAAGTAAGTAACATTCAAGGATTAGGTTTGGTACCAACCAAGTCTTTTTAATCTAACATGGGGCAGTAGAAACACGAAGATTTTAAGTCTACTTAAGTCACATACTACTTTCATGTTGACTTCTGTCAGATCGCTAACCATTTAACTTCAAAGCACCTTGGTGAGACAGACACTCTCATTTTTACATAGGAGACATAGTCAACAGGAGTTTATCTAGACCTGGGATCATGTCAAGAGCCTCTTACTAGCACCAGCTCAAGATACACTTGTGCTGGCAAGGGTGGAAGCCATGACCTAGGTAAGTTTTACGGTATTTTATTTTTTATAAATACGATCTACAGTGGCATTGCAGAGGGAATCTTGAGTTTGGTTTTCCTTTTAAATTCTAAGTGATTAAAGAAGCACCAGGCTCCTGATTCTCACATCAAGCTCCTGAATGCCTTCAACCTTCACAGGATCTGATCAGCAACACCTAGAGCAACCCTGTAACATTTGCCCAGCACAAAGTAAAGCTCTTTCCTTACTAAATGTCACTCTTTTTTATTTAGCGGTTATATTTAGTATGAAAAAGCTCTTCAAAAGAAAACCATTAGCTGAAATTAGCTTTCAAAAAAAGTATTTTAGAGTAGGCTGATTGGGAAGTTGCTAGAATCTCCATTAACTCATTTTATGGTAGTCTGACAGAAAGCAGCAATAAGATCCAGCACTGAACTCGGTATTACTTTTCTCTTGACAATTTGATTCAACTGTAGATAAATCCTCATCTTTCTCTGTCCCCATTACACTGTCAAAAGTCAAGACTATATGAGGGTAGCGGTAAAAATCAGTTTTGTACTGTATTGAATGAAAACAGGAAAAAAATGAAAAATCAAGACAGTCTTTTTAGCTGAATTGCTTCAAGATACACTCAATCTAAGAGGACCGGTGTAACATTTTCAGACAATCCTTCAAGGAGCACAACCTGACTCTTAAAAACAAGATTAAAATAAAAATGCAGTAGATTATATGATTTGATTAGTGAAGTGAGATCTGCACATGAAACACATTTGAAAATCAGGCACCAGGCAACTAGTTTAAGTACTATAATTTTATACTACACAAGTAGGTATGTCAAGCACAACAGGACATTCTAGACTTTTAAACCAAATTTTCCTGTAAGAGACACAGCAATTTGTACAAACCTTGTAGAAGTTCCCATATGATTTGCGAATATTGATCCACTTTTTGGCAAAAGAAGGGTATTTGATACGGCTAATACGGCACTGGATGTTCAAAAATTTACTCATATCCCAAGATCTTAGAAAGTCAAAAGAGGAAAACATTAGTCATATATAATCCTGTGTTCTACAGGTTGCACAGTTGTAGAACTAAAAGCTGCGTTGTCTCTGGAGATCAGTAGAAGGAAAAGAGTTTAGGAAAAGCTCATTTGCTATAGTCATGGTAAATAATTTTTTAATATGAATTTGTTAATCATGGAGAAAAAAATAATTACGGGAGCACAACTTTCACCAGGATGGTTTCAGGTCCACAACAGTTAAAACAAAAAAAATAGCACACCAACTACTCCACCTACCACATCAACACTGAAAACTGCCAATAAATTAGATGCTTACACAGCCCTCAGTGAAGCAAGGACACCTTAAATCTTCCTGATTATTTGGGTATGCATTTATCTCTCTACTTGAGGTAGGCTATTGAAACTAGACTGCACCTAGTTTTATGAGAAACCAGATCTCTATGAAAATGTGAAGAAATTATAATCCTATTTATTTAGCAGCCCACCTTCCTGAAGGGAACCACCCCAACAAGTTTGTAAGCTGCAAGTTAAAGTAAAGTTTTTTTTCCCCATCTTCTCTAGCTGTCTATGCAATTTCAACTATACAACAGAGATTTCAATGCACCTATTTTCCTTAAGGAATTTCACAGAGGAATTTCACTGGAGGGGAATTATAGAGACATTTAGGCCCAGTAATATAACCAGTCCTGCATCAGCTTTGCTTTAGCATTTTCTTTTTTTTTAAATTTACTGTTGCTTCCAAAGATAGCACTGTAATTACAGGTTAAAAATTAAAAATTACAGAGGGTTATTTTCAGGTATTATGTGCTAGATATAAATGGAGAATTACAGCAACAACGAAAGATAAAATCTTCATGTCAGCATCACTCTGCTGCTTACAGACCACTAGGAAAGAAATGGCGCCATCTGATGGATTTAAGCTTCATTTTGAATAGTTCAGTTTAGCTTTAAGCTTCAATTAAAATAAAACCGGCAAAATGGGATTATCCCAATCCATCTTTAGCAATGCTCTCACAAATATTAAACATGGTTTTGCAGTTTTAGATTGTGCTGAAGGGGTGCATAAGGACATACCCATCGGTCAACATAGAATAGCTATACTTTGTTCCCAGTTCTCGTTGTCTCATCCACTCTATGACATTCTGCAGAACTTGAGGAAAAATATCAGCTTTATCAACAATGTCCTAAGAGAACAAAAAAAACAAACCCAAAAAGACAAAAACAAAAAACCAACAAAGTAAGGAACATTTTTTCATAAAAAAAATCCCTCAGCATTAAGTGTATAAATTGTATTGGTATATGGGCAATTAAAAAGTTGGCTTCATCAAAATCTTTACAAAACCATATTACATGTTAACAGATGACTGGACAGGGTTTTCTAAACTGAAAAAATAGCACCACAAAAGCACTGCTACAAGTGCCAGCCTCCTAATAGCTTCTGTAAAGGTAACAAGGTTAGTCAGCAGTTGAACTTGGATTAAAACCTTTGAGTTTTTAACCCAGGCTCCTTCTTAAGTCACTTATTGCAAGCTATTGCCATCCTAAGACTCTAAACTCTTCAGAATAAAAATCTTAGGAGAGGAACTGATGCAATTCAAAAGGTACTTTGCTCTACTAAAGATTAAATTTCTCCACGTGAATTAAAAGGTCATTTTCCCCACAAAGTGACCAATTTAGTGAAATCAGCTCTGTGATAATTGGGAGAGGGAAAAAACAAGGATTAAGAGAATAGGCCTTACAGAAAAATAACCATGAAAGACTACCATTTAAGGTAACCAGTCTGAAAACATCAACACCACATCCCTTTTTTTCCTATTTCTTCCTGAAGAAACAAAAGTGCAAATTACCTGGGTTATTCCTGTCAGACTGATGCAGAAGTCTGAAAGTTTGGGATTAATCTCTGGCTTCACATATTGCTGAAAGGTGTCCTCCTGTAACAGGAGAATCAATTGCTCAGCTGCAGCACACTATGCAGCCCGCAGGGCAACTTCTCTGGCTCACCTGCAGCCCAAAGGCAACAGCAGCTACTTGTCCTGCTGCAGGCAAAAAGGAGTGTGCACCTCCTGAGTCAGTGTAAGCCTCCTGATTAGCCATCATCAGATTCCTAACGGAACAGATAGCTTTCCGACCAGAACATGTCAGCCAGTAGGCACCAAGAGTGGGAATGAGGGAAAAATGAGTGCAAAAAAGCAGAGGATTTAGGAAAAGAAGAGTGAGAGTCAGGAAAAAAGAAGTGAGAGGCATGAACAAAACCTTATGGTTTTTAAGGTGGTATCTCTAAAGGTTCACCTGCAATTCAAAGAAAGCAACTGGCCACACACCTCAGAAGCTTCAGGCAAGTCCTACAATTCTGGATGCCCGCCAGGCAGAGACAAACAAAATCTCACTCTGGGAAACTGAGCAATACAAGAGTGAAGAATGAAGGCAAATTTCATGGAAAAAAGAAAGCCCCAAATCCCTGCTGTTATACAAAAACTTTTGGGTAGACAAAAAAACCCAAAAACCAACACTCTAAGAGCAATAAAAACAATCCTGGTAATCTGCACAATCCTTTTTCTGCTGTTAAGTCATACATGCAGTTATACTTTATTGTAGCATCACAATGATTACTGGAAATTCTCTTCCCATTCATTCTTCATAAATGAACCATTAGTCAGAGGTATGTACATATCCTCTGTTTCACTGCATCACTCAATTTCAGTTAAGCAGTGGGTGGTTTATCCTAAAAGAAAGTTGTACTGGAACAGAGCACTTGAGGCTAACAAATGCCTGCTAAGTATGTTAAAAATCAGGTTATACAGCTGTCAGTCTGTTTGGTACAATGTGGAAACAGCTGAGTCTGACAAGAAGTGGAGTTCACTTTCAACCTCACTTTCTAAACCTCTGCATTAGTGTCTTCTAGATTGCCTCAAACAGGATCACAGAAATTAATCATTTTTTATTTTTTTAATGAATCCCTTGAGTCCTAGAAATAGATTTGTAGGCTTTAAAGCAGGGAAAGAAAGAGCAGACACAGACAACTGAGAAATTCTTATCAGTAGAGGGAGTTGACAGCAGGAGAATGATCTACTTGGATGATCGTTTGGTAAATGCTTTCAGAAGAGAAAGTTTTGTTTGTACTTAAGAGGCACAGAAGATAATCCCTTACATAAAAAGTACACTATTTTTAATGAAGTTCAACATCTGCTTAAAAACTAACCTAGACATTCTGATGCAAACAAGTTACTTCAAAGAACAGCACAGCAACACAGCCATTAGATCACTTACTATTTCCAGGGTACGTGTATTTACTAAGACAACAGGAAATTCAATTATTTCATGTACAAATTCAGGTGGGTTTCCTTCTTCACATGTTGCTTCAAAGTCAACAACACATATGTAGTCATAGCAGCTGTCTCCATTAATGTATTCCTTCTGCATCAGCTTCTGTTTCTTGTAATAGTTTTTCAATCTCTTTTTCAGTACATCTTTCACTCCTCTGAAGAAATAGGGAAAGTGACAAAGATGGCACTCTTGTTTAATTATTTCCTTGTTATAGAACTGAAGCTACATTTAACATTTGAGAGTTCACCACTTATTAACCTTATTTTGAATACCAGCACTTGTGAAGTCTGAATTCCACTTTATCATAGAGGAGCATCATCCCCATTATTTACACTACATTATATCCCATTTTCTAGGATAATGCAGAGGCTGTGATACCCCCCACAATACAATACTAGAGATAGACTGGGAAGCATGACACAGAGACACTCTGCAGTCACCTCTACTTCAGCAAGACTTGGTATCCAAAGCCTTTCCAAAGCTCAAGTCTTTGTAGATTACTCCTGGTTGACCTCTGGCCCTGGAAGAAGTACTGCTTCACCTGTATTCCTCTGTGCCCTCTATCTGAAGTGTTTCATGCCTGAGGCCTTTCTGCATCAGTGGCATAGATAACACAGAATCCATCTTAAACGTCCACATTTTATATTTTTCTCAATTTAAATTTAAAATTGAGCTAGAACACCTCAATTAAAATAAAGTATTTGAGATTTCAGTTGTAAGAAAAACCTCCTGGTGAAGATCCTGCTTTTCAGGAGGTTTGTGGCTATAAATAAATTCACATGGCAAGTGATTAAAGTTACTTGCTGCATCCTTTTAATACAAATATTATAATATATGAGTGCATATGCCAGAACTATCATGTACCAAACCAGAGCTGAATAAATGCGGATAATTTATCCTTTCAAGGAAGTTATTTTCAAAATTATTCACTGCAAATGAAATCACAGAAGCTGTAAGAGATACATGTAGCAAGTGGCACTATTAGAAAAGCAGCCCACTAATCCACAAAGAACTGAAACCAAACTACTAAACATGCATTTGAGAACATCAGCTGCTTCTGCAGAGATAACTCTTCTTCACTCTGGTTTACTGATCTAGTTTAAGACAGTGACCAGTTCATTAAAAGCTGAGACAGTATGGGAGCTGATGGAGGGGGAAACTACCTCTTTCTTCACTAAACTTATAAAAAAAGTTGAAAATAGGAAACAATTGACTATCACAAAAACCTCAAAGGAAAGGATGGTGTGTGGTAATCTGCTCAATTCTCTACATTAGAACTGATGCACTATTTGTTTACAGGTAAGACATATTCTGACTTGACTTATTTGAATATATTGACAAAAGAAGCCTAGCTTGGGTAAAAGAGAAATTTTAAGCTTTCAGCGTTTACAACTATATTTAAAAGCTCACATAGAGAACTTACAATCTAAGAAAAGGCCACAAACATATCATAAGCTATTTGAATTCTGCTTTCAATTTTTAACTAGGCTAAATTTTTAAACGGCTAAACAGCTATAGAAATGTAATGTGTTTTACCAAAAATTTTCTCAAGTAATGGTAAGATTTTTTTCCTCATGGGGCACTAAATTAATTTAATCAATCAACTCCCCACCACTACTTCCTCATTCCTGCTGCCTACAGAAATAACATTTTTCTCAGCTGACCTTCTTTACAATATCTCAAGTTCGCCTGGCCACAGAATTGTTTTGCAGGTCATTTCCAGTACAGGAGGAACTACACTATATTCCGTTGCTTCTGCCCCAGTGAGCACAAATCCGGCTTATAATACATCCATTTTTTCACATTTTTCTAGCACATGCATTCACAGTAGCAAACGCTCCATCTAAAGGTATTTGTCTTAATTGATTATATCCCGAGCCCCATCACCAGAGTTTGTAGCAAGTATCAGATCAGTACTGAAAAAATATGGATGTTCTGAAGCAAGTTGCTATATGATGAAGGTCTGCAGCACCACCTGAGCACCTGAGGACCACTGCAGTTCTTCTTTCCCTCTTGACCAAAAAGTGATGAGAAATAACTTACAGTACCTTTCATTTCTTTGGGTTGCCAGCTGAGACAGCACATATTAAGCAGTATGCATTAATCCTATAACAAAAGCTGCAACAAAATTGCACATAAAACAACTGCTGTCTGGTGCTGTGTCTGTTTTTCACTTTCTGTTTTTTTAAACTTTAAAATAATCATCTGTCATGACTCTACTGCTCTCAAAGATAAATCAATATATTTACAAATAACCTGGTTTCAAGCTTGAACTCTGCGAGTTTACTTCTGAGCTCTTCTCTGGTCATTCTGTTGATATAACCATTGGTTACAGCAATTTCTTTGTAAATCGGATCACTGAAGTCGTTTGAACTGGCAGCTGAGGTTTTGCCATTAGTTTCTTGATCACTGATCCTACAATGCTGCCTACCCTAGAAGATAGAGAAATCAGGAAGTAATTTAAGAAGGTCAAAACAAAATGCTTGAGCATTTCACACGATTTTTTGGCACCGGGAACGAAGTAGAGCATCACACTGTTACCCGTGATCAAACTGCGTGAACTTAGGGAAGAGAATCAATTCTAAAGCCTGCTCTGAAGCACTGTTTTCCTAAACAGCAACAAAAAGATTAAAGGGACACCAATGCATGTGTCTTGAGCCATGCCGAAAAGCAGCTCTTGGAGACAAAAGTTGAATACGCAATCTAATCTCAAGAGGAAGAGTTCTCTGGCGCAAACGGGCAAAGCCTTCACGAGCAGCGAGATTTCTCTCGACGACTGAATTAAACAGAATGCACACTGACTGGAACACGCGGGCCGCTGCCCAATACGTGCAAGATAAACAAAGCAATAAACAAGAGGAAAAACTACGTGCACTTCGGCTCCCGACCGCTGTTCGCGGCCTGCGTGGGGCGCACATAGCGCGGCCTTGGGCAGGCTCGTGGCACCGGCGGCGTTCCTCGGGGAGGGCGAGCCCCGAGCAGCCCCGAGGCCCGAGGCGGACGGGCAGCCGGGCCGTCCTGTGAGAGCGGGCTAGGGGCCGCCACCTGGGGCTAGCACCGCCCGGCCGCACAGCCCCTACCGTCCCGCGCACTCACCGGCGGGCAGGCTGCGGGGGCAGCCGCCGGCTCATCCCTGGCGGCCTGTGGGTGGTTCTCGTTCTGCTCCTCCATGGTGGCGACGGGAACCGACAGCAGGGACGGCGGCCCGTCGGGGGCGGGAGAGCGCGGAACCCGCCCCTGGGCGGAGTAACGGCCCCGCCACGGCTGCCGCGTTCGTGCGGCTCCGCGAGACCCGAGGAGCTGCGGCTGCGGCTCCCGGCGTTACCCTCTGGCATCTAACGCTGTCGTGGGTATGTGCCATGCGTGCCCGGGCCGCCTCACCCCCGGCTGTCCCGTCAGCCGCAGCACTGCCGCCTCCTGCGCCTGCCTCAGCCCTCCTGGGCTTCTGCCCAGCAGTTCCCTCGGGTTTTGGGGTCACGGCAGCTCTCTGGAAGCTCTCTCCGTGTAACGGTAAACACACACTGGGCAGACACCTCATTTATGCCTCTGTCCGCCTTCTCTTGGCACTGACTTTGCACAGAGCTCGCGAAACACAGACCTGGGACACCCGTGGCGCGTTGGGCGCCAGGTCGCAGACATCAGAAAGATGCAGCTGACCCCTAGCCCCTTCCTGCCAGGGAATTTGCCGTGCCTGCTGTTCCCCATATCCCTTAATCCAAAGTCAACAAGCATGGTGAGGTGGGTAGCACCAGACATGTAAAGCTCTTTGGATCTTCTTGGCGAGGAGGTGAAGGCAAAGGGGTGAAGCCTCTCTATCCATCACAGGTCAGTTTATTTTCCACTGGTGCTTCCTACAGTCCTGAAATGCAGTCCAGTATCCCTCAGTGATAGAGGCCGATGTGTACTGACACCCAACTAATGCAACCATACCAATACCTCCACATGGGCCAGCCACTAAACAGCCCAGAATCTACTCCCTGCAGCTGGGGCCCCAGCACTCACCCTCAGTCAGGCATCCCCTCTCACTCTGGCACACCAGCATCGCCTTTCCTAGACCTGCTGTGCAGCATTTGTCATCTTTGGTGGATGTGCCACAGAGATCCATCTCGTCTTCTCCACACTGAGTGATGACAGAAGTGAGACACACAAGTGCTTGGGGCTATGTGCACGTCCTGGTTTTGGCTGGGAGAGTTAGCTTTCTAAGATGCTGCTGCAGTGCTGTGTTTTTTGGATTTGGTATGAGAATCCTGTGGATAATACACTGATGAATTAGTTGTTGCTCACTCTAAGTTAAGCCTTTCAGTCTCTTGTGCTCTGTCAGTGAGAAGGTGCACAAGCTGGCAGGAAGCACAGTCAGGACAGCTGACCTGAACTGGCCAAAGGGATATTCCATACCATGGAACATTGTACCCAGTATATAAATAGTGGGGAGGAGAAGGAGTTAACTGGGCGCTGCTGATACTCATCCCCCATCACTGGGGGAGGGACTGGGCATCAGTCAGTGAGTGGTGAGTAACTGTACTGTGCATCACTTGTCTTTCTTGGGTTTTATTCCTCTTTCATTGCAATTACTATCATTAGCATTATTATATTTAATTTGGTTCCATTATTAATTAAACTGCTTTTAACCCATGGATTTTACATTTTTTGCTATTTTCCTTCCCACCAGGAGGTGGTGGTGGTGAGTGAGCAGCTGTGATGATGCTTAGTTGCCAGAGGGGGTTACACTGCAGCAGTGGGATTTGCTCCCGTTTTTAATTCACCTTCCTGGTGCTGCCACAAGCCCCTGTTGCCAAGCAGAGGACCGCCTGCCCTGCTACTCTGCCTCCAAAACCTGCTTTGAACGTGAGCAGGGAATCAAGCCTTCCACAAATGCAAACAAGATGGTACCAACGAGAAACACTGAGCTGGCCTCACAAACTCATAAAATAGCTTAAAAGGTAGTGGGGGAAAAAAGCTGCTCCTCAGAAATCACCTGCCTTGCTGGAGTGGGCAATGGTTCATAGATACTAAATAAGGGGCTCCATGCTCAGATTCACTCAATGGCAAATCTCTTCGTGACTTTGCTACAGCACAGATCTACAGCTAGGTGCAGACCCTTCCAGAGCTAGAGCCCAAGGAGGCGCTGCAAGAAGAAAAACAAATCACACAGCCAGGACCCTCCTGGAGATTGAGATCACTTTTATTTTCAGTCATTTTGGTGAGGATGTGTGGGCAAGTGTGGGTATGGTATGTGTATATCTGGGCATGCATGTGTGTGTGTGCAGAGTCCTGCCCAGTCATGTAGATTATATGAATACGTGCAATTACAGTCCATGAACTGAGCCATGAAGCGTGTGATGAGTGCTACACTGAGGCCCAGTTGCTTGCCTCTTCTTGTGCTTACTGCAGTGCAGCATCTCCACCTCCTGGCACTGACGTTCCAAGGATGCCAACCCAAGATCCCATCCAAAGAGCGCCAAGAGGAACAGAGTTCCGGGATCTGTCTCTGCAGGAGTGAGTCAGTGGATTTTCATCTCACTTAGTGAGTTCCCAAGTAACATTTGCGGTTCTCTTTGACACAACCGAATCTAACTCCTCACAGTGAGGAGCTTCAACTGCTTTGACAAACTTTAACTGCCTCAGAGTTACAACGCGGAAGAGAACAGGGACCTCACATAAGCTACAGTACAGCCAAGCACATCTTGAGTTCCTGGGAAAGCAGCGCCCAAATACACTACTGAGTTATACAGCCACCATGAAACTGTGGCATGGGGGATGCTGCAAAAAAGATGACCCATGCTTCTGCAGCCCCCAGTCTCTTCCATCTAATCTGAGAGACCATAAGGCAGGGTAAATCCCAAACTAGGCTCTATTTCAGTTTAACTTTTTAAAGCTGAATCCCCCAAGCTCAGAGCAAAGACAATGCATAAAGAATAGCACTGCCATGAAAGGAGACTAGTCAAAGGCATTCTGGCCTTATGGCAGACTAACAACAATTTTACTTCTCTGACTTTTTTGCTTATAGCACAGTTAAAACAGAGGTGTCCCATCACCCAGGACCCTCTGCAGTTGCCAGAAGACTCCAAGTACTCCAGTAAGCCCTAAAATTACCTAGATGTGCAGCATTACCCTTTGCACTCACTCACTCACCTCTACATATTTGGATGCTGCTTAGTCACATTCAATTCCTCAAAACCCAGAAGGCAAAGCTGCTATCCTGGGAGTTTCACTTGGACGGATGCAAGTTTGAATCCCAGGTTTTGCTTCAGTGTGTAACACAAGGTACTCCAGGACATCTTCCAGCTGCTGAAAGTCCTGGAGTGCAAAGCAGCTTGCTAGCTCTGCTTCCAAACCTGTCTGAATTAGTTTCAGCAGGAAATCAAAAACCAGTCAAGCAAGGGGTCTGCAAACCAGTAAGTAAAACCAGTAGAATCATCTTGAGTGAAGTAGGCATCTAGGAGATTGCCAGGAGATTCTCCTCCTATTCCGAAGGAGTTAAATTCATTGTCAGCTCCACAGGGAGACAGCTGATGCCCCAGTTCTTTCTGACCTCTTTATAAGACATCTTCAGTAAAGGCTGCAGAGTGCTGCTCCACAGAGGCCTTAGTCATCTCTAACAGTCTGGTAACTCTCCAAGCAGGGACGAGAACAGGAACATAATACATATTCTGAACTCGGGTATCTGCTGTTAGGGCACTGCATTCAAGCCCTCTTTCCTTGTGGCTTTGGTTCACAAAAAATGACAGATCCTTCAAAAATACAGGCCCCTCATTCCTGGGGCTCAGGGATATTGAGTGGAGCCTGAGGCAGGAGCTCAGCAAAGGGACACTGTATGAGGATCCCAGGGTGCATCCTTAAAATCAAAAGTAATATGAGCCGCTTGATTTGGTTCTCCTGCATGGATCTCCCACCTGGCAACTGCAAAGGAGAGATGTTTCTGAACTGCATAGAAATTTAAATGACTTTTGCATATAAAAAAAATTTGGATGAAAACACAGTTACACCAGTTACTAAACAGTGGGTGGATGAGCAATCATCATTTTGTATTAAATAGCTCCAACTAGATTGATCTCAATACTGCCACACTCCCAGCATTACAGTTTCAGTGCACTGCAGCAGCCTGAGTGCCTGCAAAGGCCAAAGAATCTGCAAAGGCCAAAGAATGCTCCCACGGAGGCGGCACACCCTGGCAGGAGGGCTGCGGTCCCAAGGAGCAGGCTGTAAGACGTCTGCTCTGTCCTCTCACTCCTTCAACGCTCACGCATCCCAGACCAGATGGGTACACTGGGAAACAGACCTCCGGCTGGAAAAGGATTCCAGTTTGTGGTTTCTTTACAATGTGGTTTCCAGGCAACGCCACAGCAACAAATCGCTAGTTTCTTCCTATGGAGAATGGAAAGAGAGATAAGCAGCAGCAAAACAGGAGGAGAAGGCTGCCTAGCATGTGAGGTGACAATAGGGAATGCTCTAACACAAGTACTCCCTGTACCAGGCATGTTTCATGGGCAGCAGGACTCAGGACAAGGGCGTTTCCTGGCATTACTCCTGAGCATCATTCAAAGATCTCATCTCCCTTTCACCTCCTCCAGCCACCACAGACAATTTTGAGTCTCCAGTTTATCCACAGCAACACAGATGCACAATCAATTAATTATTCTCCCTGATGTAAGAAGGTTCATTGCCAGAGGTAGCAGGTCAACACATGAAATCTGAGCCCAAGCTACCCTCTCAAGCTGGAATGATACCCTGAAGGGACAGGAAGCTGACTGAGCTGCCAGCTTTTATTTGACAGCTTTTCCCCCGAAGTAAGCTACATGGCTTGATTTCTTCTACCTGGCCTCTGGATCTCCTGCTGAAATGGATTCTGCCCTGCTTTCCCAGCATTAAGTTCTTGCTAATGGGAAGATTTACAGCCTTGCACATAAGGCTGGCATTTAAAGGATCAGAAACCAAGGAAGTATCATCTATGCAAGAGCAGCAGGTCCTAACAGGACACATCACTGTCTTGCAGTGGTGGGATTGCCTGCTGACTTGTACCACCCATCCCAGCTCTGCCATCACAGCCCAAAGTGTTAGGAGCTGTACATTAACACAAGTATTTTAAGTCTCTCATCTCTCAGGCCTCCCCCAGCATTTGATGAAAGGATCCTGGCTCTGGAAATGCCTGCCTCTTATTGAATTACACTAAATAAATATTTGCATGGAGCAGGACTCAGACAGCACAGTTACCAGGCCTCAGCTGCAGGGCACAGACTAACAACAACATCTTAGAAGTCCTCAAAGCCACATAGCTGGGGAGAAAACAGAACTTTGGAACCAGTGCTCAGCCTGCCCTTTCCCACATTTGGAGAGGGAAAATGGCTGCTCATGAAGCATGGCTGCTGGCCCAAGGGGATCAGGATCAGTTTGTACCACACAGACAGACTGTTTCATCAGATCTCTGCACAAAGATGTCTGGGTGGCTTTCCTAGGAGGATGACAAAGATCTAGATTTTTAGTGCTGTGGTGGACACAATGCACGGAGAGTACCACAATGGCAGTACCAAAGCTTCCAGAGGTGGCAGACCAGCAGCTATTCAGGGATGATGTTAACACTAGGGATAAGAAATAGCATGTGCCAGAGGCACACTGACTGCCCTGCATAATCACAGCACATCCTCACCACTTCATAGCACAACATATGTGAGCACACTGGGCAGGAAATGTGTCCCAGCCTGCTTCTCTGCCAGCCTCCACTCAAGACTGCTGCATGGGACACAGCCAACTGTTTTGTGGTGGAGCAATTTTAAAGGCTTCACAGTACAAACCCGCTCCCCAGCAAAGCCTTGGCCAACTGCCACAAAACTCACTTGTCTAGGAACAAATCCAGGGAATCCCGCTACAGCTCATTTCAAGAGACCTTCCTCCAAGCAGGTCTGAATTAAATGGTATACTAAGGATATTTTTACATTCATCATGAGATCCAAATGGGTTTTCAACACGTGATCAGTGGGTCCACAGAAACCTATTCCCAGTGTTTTCCCTCTGGCCAGCGGCCCTGCCATCTGCAGCAATCATTTTCCTTCATGCCTTGTCATCTCCAATCTCCAGATGACTTCATCCATTCCAGCCACGAGGCCCCCACCTGGGAGCTGCCCCTGCCCCACAGCATTTCTTTCAGCATCCAAAGTCCCATTGATCCCCATCAGCATCAACTCCACAACTGGACAGATGGGAGCAATGCAGAACATCAGCCATGTTCTGCCCAGTGGAAAACCTTTGGCACCAGCAGTGACAGTTTATCTGGAAGAGGAAAGGATAAAGAAAAAGTAATATAGCAGGGTTCATAGTGCTTGTGATGAACAACCTGACAAAGGATTTTCTCTAGGCTTCTAAATAGGGAGCATGAAGTAAAGTAAAAGTAACACAGGCCTTTTTGAGAACACAAGTTTCCCGCCAGCAGAGTGACTGTGAAACAGGGATACAGTTAACAGACGTTGTGGAAGGCAGGCTAGAGGACAAGGAGGATAGGAGGCATAGCCTGACAATACAGTACAACAAAAATGGCACCTACAGGTTAGAAATATGCTGTGCCAAGTACACACACACACGGGAGAACCAAATGAATAGGCAGTAGCAACCTGTGGCTCAGTGTCAGAGCAGCTTTTCTGACCCAGGTGGGCACTTCAACCTCACCTTCACACACAGCTCAACAACCACCCATCACTGAAGTATTCTCTACCAGGAGTGGTATTTTGGAGTGGGAGGGTACTGAACAGAGAGAACAGCATCTAAAGCTACTGTCAAGACACTGAAGTGACAGTAACAGGCATTCACATACAGCACAGCAGCAGACATCAGCAAGACACTCACATGCTCCTCTAAGCTCCCTACCAAATTCCCTTGTGCCAGTCAAATTAGAACAGACCATGGCTGAATTTCTGTTTATCTGGAAAAGCCATGGATCAAAAAGCCAAGGCATTGGCTGCTTTTATGAGTGTTGTTCCACATTTTTCCCACCACAATACAGCTCTGTTTTCCAAGCACACTCCCACTTTGTGAAGTGAAGTACATATAGGCTATAGATATAGATACAGAGGGCAGGGCTCCTGTCTGGGGGGACCTCACCAAGTTGGAGGACTGGACCAACAACAGTGCTGTAAAATTCAACAAGGACAATTGTGTAACTCTACTCCTACAACAAGACAATCCTATGCATCACCACAGCTTGGAGCTGTGCTGGCTTGGGATCTGGTGGAGAACACGTTGAACACAAGCCAGTAATGCATCTTATGGCAATGAAAACCAAGTTAATAAAATAGTAAGGAAGACTCAGATGGATCAAAAGGAAAGACGTTGTGTCCCAGAATAAAGTCTGGAGAGGTGGTAGCACCTCCATCCTTGTCATCCAAGGATGACACCCTTACCTATACAAGGAACCTGACCTACCTGGGAGAGTTGTCCTGCTTGGCAAGGGGCTGTACAGAAATCTCCTGAGGTCCCATCCTACCAAAACTCACCTATGACTGCATTATCTCCTGATCTGTCCTGCCCAATGTGTGTCTTGCATCTGCCACAACACAGCTCAGAGAACACCTCAGCCCATTTCATTGTACTTTTTATCCTCTGAGTGGGCTGTCTATAGCCACAAACAATTAGAACAGTCCCCAGGCTGTGGGGCTGCTACTATCCAGAAAGAACTGCTTAGTGAGGAGATGTTTTACGTAGGATTTCTGGTGTCTACTGACAGGGGATAAGTCTGCTTTCTGGTCTCACTTAGAACAAGGGCTGATCGCAGTAGGAGTGGGGGGGTAAACCAAGGCAACATTAACTCGCTCGCTGCCGTTCTTGGGACAGATGATTTCCGTCAATCCCTCTGGTCTCGGCTGACTCAGCAGTTCTCCTGTGAATAAAGGAAAACAATGAAAACTTTTAAGAATCAGCAAGGCAGTTTTTTATTTTAGCATGCCCTTCCTCTCCCCTTCACCAGGTAAACATCCATGAGAGATGCAGGAGAGCACTGCAAGAGGGCTTACTGGTCCTGCAATGCAAGCAGGTACCATACACGTAACCATGGGGAGTGTCCTGAGTACAGCTTGGAGAGATTGTGCTCCCCACGCATGTAATATATGCCATCTTTCCAGTCTCTGCTTTGAATCACTGTACACAGCCTCGAGAGCTCCTTAGGGATTTGTAGCATCTAGATGGAAGACTCTCTAATGCCTCTCTCTCTGGGTGCATTTGCCACAGCTGCCAGGGGAGTGCTGCTGCATCCCGTCAGGACCCTTGGCTATACTATAGTCTGCTGAGCATGCAAATCACAGCTCCCAGCTATCAGCTCTTCCATAATGGAGGCAATACCAGCTCTGTATTGAGTCAGTAGCAGTGGGGGACTCTCACACCTCCTGCTATCCCTCTGTGAAATGAGTTGCGTCAGCTCTGCTGTTCAAGTGCCAAGTTGGCAGCTCCTCACTGCTGGCATTCTTGCAGAATGTAGTTCAGGGCAAGACACAAGGGTTAGCACAGTGAGAAGGGAAAGCCAGTTGCTGAGATGTGCCCAGCCCAGGGGAACATTTCCCCAACAGCTTGCTCAGAGCAAATCAAGTTTCCTCTTGGCTCCATTCTACACATGACCGGCCTCAGCAAGGGAGATACTCCAGTCATCAATATGCCATCTCCTCAGAGTAGTCCAGCTACAGCTTAGACACCAAACAGCACCAGAGACACCTCTTGATACCTGTCTGGGAGATAGGGTCTGCTCTCAATGGCAATATGGGATGACCAGCAAGGGCTCAATTCTTCTGAGTGCACCTGCATAGGTGCTAAACAGACCTACCCAAGGCAGAATCATCAGGTCACAACTGGCTTGATCAGTGACTTTCTCTAGAGGCAGGCCAGCTGTAAGTAGGCTGCAGCCACAAGTCCACACAAAACTCTCTGGACCCAACAATCAAGCAGCCACTGTGAGCTGTCCCCACTTCCACTAAAATACTCAAGACAGATGGTCCTTGGACTCCTCCATTTTTAAATGCACTTGCAATAAATTCCTCTACTGTTAAAGAATACCAGAAAATGTCTCTTTCTGTCTAGTGGCTATTGCTGGGTATCTCAGGAAAAACAGAAAAGAAATCACACTTCAAAGTACTGCTCAGCCTGTGCAGCAATAGCACAACAGGCAGCCCCATCAAAGGGCATGAAGCCCTACAAATGTTGCTTCCCTCTTCTCCTCATACGGCTTCTCTTCTCACTTTTAGGAAACAGCATGTCATTTCATTGCATGAAAACATAGGGGAGGGCTTGGCAAGGTGTGCTGGTTTGACACTAAAGACAACCCACGGAAGTGATTTTTTCTGAGGAGCAGTTAGGCTTCCTGTATGTCTGACAAAGACTGACAACCGGTGAAACCCCTGAAATAAACGGACACACCCCTGTGAAATTCACATTTTAAAATTAAAATAACCCGGAAAAGCTCTCTTTCTCTCCCGGCCTCAATACAGGTAACACCCTGGCCTGGCCCCTCCGCAGGCAGGGCCGGGCCGGGGGGAGGGCGCCTCGTCCCGGCAGGGCCGGGCCCCAGCGATTGCTAGGTGGGGGGAGGCCCATCGGCTGCTGAGATCTGGTCTGCTCCCTCCTCCTCCCCAGCGTGGCAGAAATCCTGCCGCTACTAACATCCCGGAAGAGCAGCTCCGGGCATGGGCCGCCCTGCCACTCCCCTCCGGCCCAGCGGGGCACCGAGCCGGGCCGGTCCGCCTCAGCCCCTGCAGCTGCAGAATGATGGGGGGGGGGGGGGCGGGGGGCGTTGGCTGAGCCGAGTTTTCTCCCCCTGAATGGAATGCAGCCAAACAACACACTACCGTTTCTGGCTGGGCCCCTGCTAAGATCCCAGTCCAGCCCAGCCGCTGCTGAGAAGACACTGTATCACAAAATAGCTCCCGGCCCTGGCCCGGAAGAGATCACATGACCATCTGCAGGCCTGGGCAAGATACTAACTCTTTCACTGCCCAGAATGAAACTTACAGACACTTTGTTCTCTCTCCCCAGTGAAAGAAAAGGACTGAGATGAAGATAACGCACAGACACAGCATTAAAACATCGAGGTCAGACAAAAGGAAGAAGTCAGTCCCAGATAGAAGGAACTGATGGAGATGCCTCACTCTTGAACTGAAATGTCTCTTTTCTAAGCTATGGATGAAAGACTCTTGTTTCCCTGTAACTCAGAAAGGCATTATGGGGTGGATGAAATGTTCTAATTGTAGATATGAGTAGAGGCATTTGTGCTAAAGTAAGCAGATGTTGAAGTAGCTGTGACCCCATGAGGAAGTTTGAATAGAGAGGAGATGAAGATCCCTGCTTCCCCCCAGGGAAGAGAAGAAAAAAAGACTTCTGTTTTCAGAGATGAAGAGAGTTTTTGTTTGAACTGTTATAATCCTTAAAGTATGCCAAATAAGTTGATATGGTCCTCAGTAACAGTTGTGGGAAGACCGATGGTCGAGAAAGGAATTTTTACACAGTGATCAGATTTCCATTCTACCGGGCAGCTGACTCACTGTGACATCGAGGCCACGAGAAAACTGTTTCTTGTGGAGAAATCTCCATAGACTGAAGAGAAGTCTCCTCCCCCAAGTAAATTGCTGAAAGACTATTTTTAGAGATGGTAAACTGACTGACTTGTTTCTGTACACTGATAGTGTGAAAGAAAATAAGTTGTGGGGGGAGGAAAAGTATTCTGAAAATTTTATTCTGATTTTTATTATTTTTTCTTGTAGTTTGTCGTAATAAAGTTTTTATTTGTACCCTTTAAAGTTTGAGCCTGTTTTGTCTTCCTCCTAATCCTATTCACAGCAGGAAATGAATAAATAATTCTAGTAGGTGTACTCGTGATTTGGCCAATTCCAAACCTGTGACATAAATTGGTGTGTTGGCTGGAAAATTTCAAAATTGGCAAACCAAAGCCACTACACAAAATTGGTGATTCCACCCAGTTGAACTGAAACCACGACACAAGGAATATGCACAGTTCCCCTTGAGAGATACCCAACTTGCAGCAATTCCATTTTGCTCCCATGGTCTGCAGTCTGAATTCACACTTGGTTTGAGTATCTCCCCTCACCTCACACCTCCACTCAAACCCGAACTGGCAGAGCAGCTTTTAAGAGAGGAAGACAGGTCTTCCAAAACAGAAGAAATGTGATGGCATTTGCAATTCAAAGTTAAGTATGCAAGGCAGCATCTTTAATTACATGAGCTCTCATACTTTTAAAGCAGCATTGCACCCCATCAAGCACGTACACCACAGGGCTTAATCTCCCAACAATTACCAGATTTCCAACCCCATTTTGACGTCCAAACTGCAGTATTTATAACTGTACTGAAAACACCATCTCTGAAAGATGACTCACAAAATCAGTGCACCATTATGCACTTTAAAGACAAGGCTAATATCCATTAGATCTTAAATCAGAGGAGTGCAATAGGACTGATCTGTCTGCTTGAGCCTTCATTCCTATTTCCATCTTCTCACTTCAGAAATACTTAGATGGTGATTTCTCATGCAGAGGAGATTGCTGTAGGGTAAAACAGATGTCTGATTTGCAGGCAAAACTCTTGCCACTGCTCTTCAGTCACCCTCCTTTTCTTCACAGCTAGACCTTCCCCTCTAGGCTATCTGTGGGATAAAGGTACCCTGTACCCAGCCCCAAACAAATCTCTTCCAGCCCCACTCCCATTTCCTGCTGACATACATGCTGCTCCCCAGAAGAAAGACTTTTCTTACAATTTCTCCATAAGACATACTATGCACCAAGTAGACAAAAGGTCACCTATGCATCCTTACTATTCTTCCCCCTTTCAGCTAAAAGATGTCCTGCTGCTTTACTATACTGTCCTCATTGCCTTCTCATTGCAAACTGGTCATCTTTGCTGCACAAACTCATCATAATACTAAACTAGGTATACCTATCTAAATGACACCTCATATCACTACTGAAAAAAAGCCAGTGCAAATCCCATTGCAATATGCAATGTAATGTATGCTATAACAAACTAGCATTGAGACACTCTGCTTGGATAAAACTCTCCAGGCCCAGAATCTCTTGGAGGTTTCAGAAATCTCATATTTCTATTCAGAAATTATTCAAATTCAATAAAAGTCTTCAGGGCCACAGGAGGGTAGGAAAGAGGAGATCCTAAGAGGTACTGGACTGATTGATACAAAAGGAAAAGCTAAGTGCCTGGCATGGGGGGGTGTTTGCTTGGTTTAATTGTTAAGTTTAAATGCAGTTTAAATGTAGCACCTTGTGTCTGCAGCACTTGTTCTGCCCCTATGTACAGGCTGTATTTTGCACATTCTTCTTTGAGCATGTCACAAATTTTACTGGAAACCTCAGTTCTGCCTGCCCTCTCTAAAAGATTGCCTGCAATAGCACACACACAACCATGAAACTTATCCTAGTCTCAACATGGACTTAGTTTTACTGTAACTTCCACAGAAGCCAATAAGGTCTTAACCAAAACTCCAACTACTTCTTCAAGTAAGACTAAGACCAAAACTTTAGTCTTAAGGCTAAAAACTACAACAGTCAAATGTGCAAAGAACAACTTCCTTTTCCAGTAGACAAATCTGCATGACTACAATTTTTCATCTGATTTAAGAGCATGAGCCCTATTTTTAAAGGCACTTTAATGCTGAGTACTTGAGGACCAAGGCCTGATGTTTAGATGTATCTAAATCCCAGATCTGTTGATAGTAGAGAGGCACCCACAAACCCTGGTTAAAAGCACCTGCAAACACAGAGCAAATGCTTAAGAAGATGCTCCTTTGCTGCCTCTCATTCGCAATGGAACAAATGGTGCAGAAAAGTTGTATTTGTCCCATGGCTACCCTCCCGATGTTTTGGCACATAA